ACTGGTCTCCACATCTGCATGCACAGGAGAGCGCACACATATAGACACATGTACCGCCTCACACACACAGATTTAACAAACAGTTGACTAAATGGTTAGAAGATTCACAGAGACCTGTATTGAAAGTGTGTCAGCTGGTTGTTAAACTTCTGTAATATACTGTATATAATAATATGTTACTCATTATTGATCAACATAATGATTATGAATCGCCGGGCGGTGGTGGCACACGCCTTTAATCCCAGCACTCGGGAGGCAGGCAGATCTCTGTGAGTTCGAGACCAGCCTGCTCTACAGAGCTAGTTCCAGGACAGGCTCCAAAGCCACAGAGAAACCCTGTCTCGGAAAAAAAAAAATAATGATTATGATTCAGATTTGAAGAGGTCTTTATTCCTCTTCTGAACAACTTGTGTAAAGAATTTTCTTTTCTTTTTTATTTCTATATTCATTTCTAGAAAAGCAAGCGTCAGGGATTTTTATGTAGAACCATTTTGTTTGGAAAAAGTTATTCCATCTTTCTCTTGCTTTTGTACTTTGAATTTAAATAGAATTTAACATTGAATGCCTGTAAAATTCTCCCATTGAAAGCAACTTTAAATATTTAATAAAGTGCAATCGACTGTAATAGATAATTATATCATTTTTTAAAAAAAATAGTAATTATCCTGAACTTAATTTTTCTTGGCCTCAACAATTTCATCTATAAAGGGAAAAAGCTTCACCTAATAAAATAAATATCAGAAGGATTAAAAGAAAAGAAAATAAAGTTTGGGGACACTGGCAAGTAAGTGTGAGGTGGTCACTAAGTGTCTCTTGACTGGATCATATAAGGCACAAGTTCACGTAATAATTAGTCTTTTAAACCAGGGAACAGCACCAGGAACTAGTTGGTTATTTAAATGTGAAAATTAAAGTACTAACAACATATTACAGTTTATATATTATATATGTATATATTTTTTAAGTCACAGTGCTTCAAGTTATCTTTTATTTGCCCCCTTTGAAATTTAGCTATGTAGAGAGAAAGCAGATGGTTTCTGTAACTTTTCCTACAATTATTTCTGCAAAGCAAGACACGTCACAAGAATTGAGAGCCCACGTTAAAGGTGACCAGCACTGTGTTTGGCTTGCATTCATGAGGCCCTCAGCTCTATCCCTACCATCAATAGTACCAAAATTAACACTAATAATGCTGAAATGTTGTTAGAGCTTTCTACCATATAAATAAAAGAATACAAAAATTTGCATCTATGTTGCTTCCTAGCTTCATTCATTATGCAATTGCAAATAGAGTGTTTGCAAAGGTATGGTTTGTTAAAAGTCATTAAACACCCTGAATACATTTTAAATATCATTGAAATGATTTAAAAAGTGAAGTTAAATCTAAACAGAATTTGAAGTCATAGCTCAAATTTGGACTTACATTTCCAGAAAGATCCGAATTTCCTTCTGGCTGCTCACTTCTTTCCGATATGTTCAAACCTGGAGAGAGGCCAGGGCTGAAGGCCATGAGGTCGGTCTTGGGCGGACCTTCTCCAGAGCACACCCTCTGCCTCCTCTGCTGTGAGTATGACCAGCTGCCCACTGCACTGGAGCACACCAGCACGGGCTTCCCTGGAGCACAGGCTCCATCTGTGGGTGTCGCCGAGCAGCGCAGCGCGGTGTACAACAGCAGCGTGAGCACCAACAGGCTGGACACGGCGCAGATGGCGATGATCAGGTACACGTTGACATCCATCAGCGATGCCTGAGAGCCCACTGCACCGGTTAATACAGGCAAGGAGGCTTTCTGAATCTGTCCGCTTTCCACCAGGGATACCAACACGGTAGCAGTGGCAGTCAGCGCCGGCTCGCCATGGTCTTTCACCAGCACCAACAGACGCTGTCGTGGAGCATCAGCCTCATCTAGGGCACGTGTAATGCTGACCTCACCCGTGTACAGTCCCACACGGAACGGGCTGCGTGCGCCACCTGTTGAAGGTTGCAGTTCATAAGACAGCCAAGCATTGTAGCCAGAGTCTGTGTCTACTGCGCGCACCTTTGTCACCACATGTCCTGCACCCACTGTCCGTGACACCAGTTCGCTCACTGCGCTGCCCGCCTGAGGTCCCAGCAAGGAGGGCGCGTTATCGTTCTCGTCCAGCACAAACACCTGCAGAGTCACATTGCTGCCCAGGGAAGGCACACCAGCATCCCGCGCGCTCACCTGGAACTGCAGCAGCTCCAGCTCCTCATGGTCCAGAGGCTGCAGAGCTAACACCTTGCCGCTCTCCGCGTGCACAGACACGAAGCTCGACAGCTAGCGCTCGCCCACCCGCCTCTCCACCAGCGAGTAGGACACCAGCGCGTTCTCCTGCGCGTCTGCGTCCATGGCCGACACCGTGAAGATGTGCGCGCCAGGCGGGTTGTTCTCCTTCACGAACACCGTGTATTCGGGCTGCGCGAACGTGGGCGCATTGTCGTTCACATCAGCCACCTCCACGGACACGCTGGCTGTGGCCCACAGCGAGGGCGAGCCCCCGTCCCGGGCTGTCACCACCACCTTATAGTCAGGTGTGGTCTCTCTGTCCAGGGCGCTGTCCAGCACGAGCGAATAGTAATTCTTGAAGGTGGACACCAGCTTGAAGGGGACATGAGGAGCCAGCGAGCAGGTCACCTGCCCGTTGACACCTGAGTCAAGATCGGACACCTTGATGAGGGCGACGACAGTGCTAAGTGGAGCATCCTCTTTGATGGGCAAAGATAAGGAAGTGACCTCCAACTCAGGAGTGTTATCATTTATATCCAGCACTTTCACCAAAACCTTGCAGTGATTTGACATCGGGGGAGTCCCTTTATCAACTGCTTTTACTTGAATTTCATATGATTTTATTTTTTCATAATCCAGGTCACCAATCACTCTAATCTCTCCAGAAATAGAATCTACTTTGAACTTCTCTTGAATGTCAGGAGATACATCATTGCCAAAGGAAAACACAACTTCACCGTTTACGCCTTCATCAGCGTCAGAGGCATTTAATGTGGTCACTAAAGTTCCATTCGCTGTAGATTCTACTAACTGGGCTCTGTAGACGGCCTGGTCAAACAGTGGGGCATTGTCATTAACGTCCAGCACAGTAATCTGCAGCCGAACTGTCCCCTCCAGTTCTGGCTTGCCCCCATCAGTGGCTGTCAGTAATAAACGAAGTTCTGGTGTTTCTTCTCTATCCAAAGATTTTCTCAGCTCAAGAGAAAGGGATTTACTGAGTTCGTCAGTCGTCTCTACCTTCAAAGAAAAGTAGTCAGTGTGGCTCAGCGTGTAAATTAGAAGAGAATTAGCACCAATATCTGCGTCCGCAGCGCCCTCTAGTGGAAATCGCGAGCCTGGCTGTCTATTTTCAGGAATAAATATCCTTTGTTCTGAACCTTTAAAAACCGGTGGGTTATCATTAATGTCCTTAACCTTCACATCCACGTGGAAGACCTGCAGCGGCCGGTCCACGATCACCTCCAGGTGGATGCTACACTCCAAGCTGCGCCCGCACAGCGCCTCCCGGTCGATCCGAGAATTCACAAACAAAATGCCATTCTGCAGATTTACCTCCAGAAGGTCCCCGCGGTCCTTGGACGCCACCCTGAACAGGCGGGGCACCAGCTCCGCCAGCTCCAGCCCCAGGTCCTGAGCGATGCGGCCCACGAAGGTTCCGTGTTTGGCCTCCTCTGGGACGGAGTAGTGGAGCTGGCCGCTCCCTGCCTCCCAGGCTGAGAGGAGCAGAAGCGAGAGCAACAGCAAGCGCAGGGCTCTCAGGCCTCGGAGCCTGGAAAAGAGCATCGCAAAAGCACTGTACCTTTCGTACAACTGTCACTCCAAGATCATCCTTTCTAACTTCATGGTTTCAGTCATTTGTCTCCTCACCATTTTTGTCTTTTCTCTACTGATGACGAAATGAAGCTTCCTCCCTTCGGTTTTATCAATCCCCCATTTCCAGCTTCAAGACTTTATGGTGTACAGCGACACCATGTGGCCAAAGTGGATTTGACACTCATTCATGTGTCTTTCAAAGTAGCTTCTGTATTTATTTGCAAAGTACTCAACACAATGGTTTATAGATTTCGTAGTTTGAAGATCCAAGGCAGTCTGAATGTCATTTGCGAGTATGTAACCCAATGTTTTCATTGAACTATAATCGTAAAGGCAGTACAGTTGGGTTTGAGAAAATTAAAGATATGCTTTAATCGTCTCTTTATCATTGTATTTTAAATGATTTAGGAAGTGGGGCACGATAGTGCATTCCTTTAATCCCAGCACTCAGCGTGAAGGCAGAGGCAGGTAGATCTCTAGGGTCTACACAGTGAGTTCCATGTTAGACAAAGCTAAGTAAATAAACTAAATAGAGAAAACCTGTCTGACAAAAAAAAAGAGAGAGAGAGAGAAAGAAAGAGAGAGAGAGAGAGAGAGAGAGAGAGAGAGAGAGAGAGAGAG